AGAAACGGAGCAATGATTTGGCCAAGTTCCAATCTTGGAGGGAGACCCTCAAAGAAATCCATGCTCAAGGTTTCGACCTTACCGAAGAGATAGCTCAAGAAAAGGTGCTCGAAGCCGATGCCTAGTTTCTTGTCTCCTCCGATGATGACGATGATAACAAAGGCAAGCCAAGGCGGGTCCGATATTGAAGATGGGCCCGAAGAGGAAGCCGCTCCTAAGGGAGAGACCAACCCTGGGCATAGATAGGATTTTCCTTTCTCTTTTTGTAGTTTTCTTTCTGTAAGACCTTTTGTCGGTCTCTTGTACATACCCTTTTTCAATTTTATAAAAGAAGAATTTCCTTGAACGTTTTCTCAATGTTTCTTGCCTCACAAAATTCTTGTAATAATTTCATTCTTTGAACGGTATGTTTGAGATTTTATCTCGTATGGTTTCTTTGAAGTTTTCGTGGTCGAATTCGAATAAGGTTCGAACTTTGGGGCATAGACCATTAAGGGCTCGTCCCGGATAATGGTGAGTCCCCAAGCCATAATCAAGTTATTATTTATTCGGGCTCTGGATAATCGAATCCTTGGATTTGGATTAGGCGAGAACAAGATCTCGAACCCTAAGTGTATCGGCCCTTAGGCTCTTTTAGATCGGGCCATTATGGCCTCTAAGAGATGGCTATTATTTCCCATTTTCGGCTTAGAAGACTTAGTTATGCCATGGCATGCATTTCTTACCTATTGGTTTATTTGAGGGTTAAGTGTCGATCGGAACCCTTTTGTTTTTAGTGCCTTAGCACAAGTTCGTATTTGAATAATTCGATACCTCTTAAGGTTTTTCGAGGGCTGATTTTATCGAAGCCCTTTGATTATTTTGCCGAGGGTAGTCTTTATTAACCGGTTTTCTGAGAATTCAAAGGCCTATTTTTTTTGCGGAATTCGAACATTTCCGAGTCGCGTTATTTTGGCCATAGCCTTAGTATGTCCGTAGCCTTCAGTTATGTCTTTTGAACATGTTTCCCGATAACATTTCGAACTTGTTTGAAATTTTAGTCCCCGAGTACGTTTGCCTTGGACTTTACGTCGAGGGGTGCCTCTTTGAGGTCTTATGAATTCGACTTTAGACAACTCGAATGTGTTGGCTGTCGATGACAGTCCTCGGGTATTCGAGATGTATTTGCGTTTTGGCCCTTGAGCCGTTTCTCACAGAATGGTAAGTATGGAGCTCGTATAATAGCAAATTTCTTTGAGACAGAAAGTGTTTGATATAGAAAGAATGCTTCTTTGAATAATTCATACATGTGTACATATTTTGCCATCGAGTCTCGACTATTCTACACGGACACGGTTCATCTCACCGTTTGGCCCATTACAATGTTTTCCCATCGAGGCCCTCTTCGGCGTGAAGTATTTTTCTCAAAAATATAACCTCCGAGGGTGATGACCCCCAGTATTCGAGGTTGATTGAAAAGAAGTCTTGGATATTGTTGAATTCTCCTTAGGTAGCACATAGTTGTTGCCTCGTTAAAAACCCATTTGGGATAAAACCCGATCTAAGGAAAAAATAGTGCAACGCATGCTTTAAAACCTATGGTCTTCGTGTAGAAGGGTTCTCTCGATGTCTTCGATCGAACACCTTCAATAAGTTAGTATCAAATATAAATGGAAAAAGGGAGAAGTTCATACCTTAGCAATAATATCGTTTGAGTAGCGACACATTCCAATTGTTTAGCAATTGTTCGCCTTCTATCGTGCCAAGTTTGTAAGATCCTTTTCCGATGACTCGGTATAGTCCTTCCCAATTCGGGCCTAGTTTCCCTTCATTCGAGTCTCGAGTATTGAGGGTGACTATCCTTAGAAATAAGTCCCCGATTTCGAAGTGTCGAAGGTTGGTTCTTCTATTATAACATCTCTCGACTCTTTGCTTCTGTGCAGCCATCCGAACAAGTGCAGCTTCCCATTTTTCATCTAATAGCTCGAGGCTAGTATTCATAGCCTCGTGATTTGATTCCTCTAATGCATGTCAAAATTTGGCGCTGGGTTCTCCGGCTTCGACTGGAATTAAGGCCTCGGAGCCATATACTAAAGAGAATGGGCTTTCCCCCATGCTAGACTTTGATGTCGTTTGATAAGCCCAAAAAACCTTGAGTAGAACTTTTCTCCATTTCCTTTTGGCATCGTTCAACCTTTTCTTTAAGTTTTGAATGATAGTCTTGTTGTCGATTCAGTCTGTCCGTTTCCGCTCGGGTGATACGGCGTTGATAAGATCCTTTTTATTTTTTGTGCTTCGAGGAACTCCGTTACCTTGTTGCCGATGAATTGCTTCCCGTTGTCGCATACAATTTCGGCAGGTATCCCTAATCGACACACGATGTGGTCCCAGATGAAGTCTCTAACTTCTTTTTCTCTAACCTTCTTGAAGGCCTGTGCTTCCACCCATTTAGAAAAGTAGTCACTCATAAACAAAATGAATTTAGCTTTACCCGGGGCTGTTGGTAGAGGGCCGACGATGTCCATTCCCCATTTCATGGAAGGCCGTGGGACAGGATTGAATGAAGTTGCTCTCCGGGCTGATGAAGCATCGGTGCAAACCTTTGACATTTATCACATTTTCTAACAAACTCCTTAGTGTCTTTTTCCATGTTATTCCAGTAATACCCTGCTCTGATAATTATATGAATCAAAGACTCGACGCCGGAGTGGTTTCCACAAGTGCCTTTGTGGATCTCACGTAAAACATAATCGGTGTCCCTTGGCCCTAAACATGCCTCCAATGATCCATTGAACGTCCTCCTGTATAACGTTTCATCTTCATCCGATGTGAATCGAGCAGCCTTGGTTCGTAGGGCCCTCAACTCTTTATGGTCCGATGGGAGCTTTCTATTTTTTAAATAATCAATATACTTATTCCTCCAATCCCAAGTCAAACTTGTAGAATTTATCTCTACATAACCTTCCTCGACCACAGATCTCGATAATTGGACGACAGTCCCCGGGATAATATCATCTTCTTCGACCGATGACCCCAAGTTTGCAAGTGCATCGGCCTTACTGTTTTGTTCTCCAGGTACATGGTCTAAAGTCCACTCCTTGAAGCGGTGTAAGGTTACTTGTAGCTTGTCCAAATACCTTTGCATCATATCCTTCTGAACCTCGAAGCTTTTGTTTACTTGGTTTACCACCAATAAAGAATCACACTTGCTTCAATGACTTCTGCCCCCAAGCTTTTAGCTAGCTCGAGACCTACAATCATGGCCTCATACTCGGCCTTATTGTTAGTTAACCTGGAAGTTTTGATAGATTGTCTAATAGTGTTACCTGTGGGTAACTTCAAAACAATGCCAAGCCCGGATCGTTTCACATTTGAGGCACCGTCTGTGAAGAGGGTCCATACTCCCGATGATGTACCCGATTTTATTAGAAGTTGCTTTTCCACTTCGGCTATGAGGGTTGGCGTAAAATCGGCCACGAAATCTGCTAAAATTTGAGACTTGATGGACGTTTGAGGTTGATAATCGATATCATACCCGTCAAGTTCGACGGCCCATTCGGCCAACCGGCCCGATAATTCGGGCTTGAGCAAAACATTTTGGAGTGGATAAGTGGTTATCACACAAATGGGGTGACACTGAAAATATGGTTTTAGTTTTCTAGATGCGCTTATTAATGCAAGTGTCAATTTCTCTAAGTGTGGATATCTAGTTTCAGCATCTCCTAGAGTCGGACTTACATAATAGACAGGAAACTACGTACCTTGCTCTTCTCCAACTAGCACACCACTTACCGCTATTTCAGACACTGCCAAGAATAAGTACAGCTTTTCATCCACCTTCGGAGTGTGAAGTAGAGGTGGTCTCGATAAGTACCGCTTCAATTCCTCCAATGCTTGCTGGCATTCCGGGTTCCACGCGAAATTATTTTTCTTTTTGAGTAAGGAAAAGAACCTGTGGCTTCGATCTTATGACCTCGAAATGAATCGGCCCAAGGCAGCTACCCGTCCTGTTAGCCTTTGTACGGCTTTCACGCTGTCTGTGATGGTGATATCCTCGATGGCCTTATCTTGTCGAGGTTGATTTTGGTTCCTTGATTTGACACCATGAAGCCGAGGAACTTGCCCGAGCCGACCCCGAAGCCATATTTTTCTAGGTTAAGCTTCATGTTGTACTTCCTCAAGATCTCGAATGTTTCCTGCAAATGAGTTAAGTGGTCCTATGCGCGCAGGGACTTAACCAACATATCGTCAATGTAAACGTCCATTGATTTACCTATCTGTTCCTCAAACATTTTGTTAACTAGGCATTGGTATGTAGCTCCTGCATTTTTTATTCTGAAGGGCAGTACATTGTAACACTATGTTCCATACTTAGTGATAAACGAGGTTTCTCCTAGTCTTCCGGGTTCATCTGAATTTGATTGTACCCGGAATAGGCATCGAGAAAGGTAAGGATCTCTTGGCCAGCCGTGGCATCGATCATGCGATCGATGTTAGGCAATGGAAAATAGTCTTTAGGGCATGCCTTGTTTAAATCCTTGTAATCTACGCACATTCTAAGTTTGTTCCCTTTTTTCGGGACTACAGCTACATTGGCTAACCATTCAGGGTATTTTACCTCCCGAATGGACCATATTTTAAGAAGTTTAGTTACCTTATCTTTTATGAATGTATGTTTCACCTTGGACTGGGACCTTCTCTTTTGCTTCACCGGTTTTAACCTGGGGTCGAGGCTTAACTGATGTGTTGTTATCTCCAGTAGGATTCCTGTCATGTCTAAATGGGACCAAGAAAAACAATCCATGTTATCGATAAGAAATTGAATGAGTTTTTCCTGAGTTCGGGGATTAACCCCGTTCCTATTGGTTTATCAATATCACCTGTTCTAGCTCTTCAACCGTTGACTTGGTTGCATCTGATTCTTCGGGAACAACGAAAGTTCGAGGAGCAAGGAAATCCTCTTCTTCTTCTTCTTCGATTACCTAATTTTCCGATTTGGCCGAAGCTGGTGACCATGATTGCTATTTGGCCATCTGCTTATCTTTGGTGCTCGATTTTTCTGAGGTAGAGGGCGCAGATATCGGCGTCAACTCATCAACTACAAACATTTCTGTTGCAGCGTGTTGTTCCCCGTAAACTGTTTTCATACTATCCACTGTCAGGAATTTAATCATTTGGTGAAGGGTCGACGGTACTTCCCTCATGTTGTGGATCCATGGCCTCTTGAGTAGTGCATTATATATCATATCGCCTTTAATGACATGAAATTTAGTATCTTGGATGGTCCCAGCCATGTTTATTGGTAGGATTATCTCCTTCTTCCTTGTTTCACTTGCCATGTTGAAGTCGTTTAGGACTCGAGATGCAAGCACAATTTGGTCCTACAGGCCGAGCAGCTCTACGACCCTCGATCTAATTATGTTTGTTGAACTACCTAGATCCACTAGAACACATTTAACTTGAATTTTATTAAGCAAAATACAAATTACTAGGGCGTCGTTGTGCGGTTGAGAAATGCCCTCCGCTTCTTCGTCATCGATTGATAGGACGCCTTCAGGCACATAGCTCTGAGTCCTCTTTTCTCTGGTGATTGACACCTTGGTGCGTTTGAATATAGGCCCTTGTGGAACATCGACCCTGATAACGATCATATGAATTACATGATGCGGTTCATCCAGCTCATTCTTTCTGTTGGCGTCTCTTTCTCTGAAATGATTCTTAGCTCGATCACTGAGGAACTCTCGAAGGTGGCCTTCGTTGAACAATCGAGCTACCTCCTCCCTCAACTGTCTGCAGTCTTCGGTCCTATGGCCATGCGTGCCATGATATTTACACATAAAGTCCGGGTTTCTTTGGGAAGGGTTAGTTTGTATAGGTCTGGGCCACCTGGTGTCTTTGATCCTGTCGATAGCTGATACAATCCCCGATGCATCAATACTGAAATTATACTCCGATAATCGAGGTGCTTCCGCGGGGTTGGTATGTTTGTCAAAACCAATCTTACTCATAAGTCCCTAGAATTTTTCCCTCAATCATTTCTTCAATCGTTCCGAGGAGGGTTGCACCCCGGACCATTGTTTCTCCGATCTGCGACACATGGCTGATACCGTTCACTGTTCGACCTTGGTTCCCTGTCGATATCCCTCGGGGCTTTAACTGCCAATCCGTTTGGATGAAGTGAACCCAAAGGGGAACCTAGTTGGTCCTCCTCGACCCTGATCTTCGATTGATAACGATTATGCACATCTGCCCACGTTATAGTTGGGTAATCGATCAAATTTTTCTTCAACTACCGTGACGCTATCGAACATTGCTCGTTCAATCCCTGGGTGAAAGCTAGAACGGCCCAATCATCTATGACCGGTGGTAATTCCATTCGCTCTATTTGAAATCGAGATACGAACTCCCTTAGCATTTTATCACATCTCTGTCTAATCTTAAAAACGTCCAATTTTCTTGTTGTGACCTTTATGGCCCCGGCATGTGCCTTCACGAAGGCGTCCGCTAACATAGCAAATGATTCGATGGAATTCGATGTGAAGTTTTGATACCAAGTCATTGCTCCCTTTGACACAGTTTCCACAAATTTTTTCAACAAAACCGACTCGATCTCATCATCATTTAAGTCGTTTCCTTTAATACCGCATGTATAAGAAGTGATATGTTCATTAGGATTGCTCGTCCCATTGTACTTAGGTATATCCGACATACGGAATTTCATAGGAATGGGCTTCGGGGTCATACTCTGAGGAAATGGCTTCTGCACGAACTTCTTTGCATCCAAACCTTCTAAGATCCGGGTGCCCCTAGTATTTGATCAACACGGGAGTTGTATGTTTCCACTTTCTTGTCGTTATCTTTGTTTTTTTTCTCTCCCGACTCGATTCTCTTGGTGAGCTCCTCGAGCATCTTCATAATTGCAGGATCGGTCCCCGATCCATTACCGTGCGACCTTTCTGGCACTGGCTCAGTACGGTGAGTGATTTCTGGTTCGACCACACTTAGAGTTTTATGTTGAGTTTGAAGCTGAGCGATAGCAACCTGCTGAGCTTGTAGCATTTCGAATATTATGTGGAGACTAACTCCCCCGTACCCTACACCCTGTGTTCCTTGGCCCCCAGATCGAACTTCCCTGCCTACACTTCCTGCGGGATCCGTGCCCAAGTCCGCATTCAAAGCAATGTGCGAACTAACATCAACTGGTTCTGCAATCGGCACTTCCCCGGTGTTAATCAGTGGCACACTGGCTCCTGGAGCAACTACATTATCATTTTCCCCATGAAGTCCAAGACCATCATCGCCATGTACGGGTGCATTTTGAGAGTTTGACATGATTCAACCTGAGAACAAAAATTCTTGACAAGAACAAGTGTGAAAATAACGTGTGTTATCAGAATCAATATTGAAACAATCACTATTATCCTTAGCCCCACGGTGGACACCACACTGTTTACCCTAATATCCGAGTAACAATTAAACTTGTATTGTGGTTCCAAAGATATGTGATTTAATTCAATACTAATTGATAAATAAAGAATCTAATGTATAAATTAAATAGTAAGGTACGTCAACCAATGTATAAGCAGACCTCGACCTCAAACAATGGCAACCTCGAGGTAGGTGTATAAGAACAATAAAATAATAAGGCAAGTCAGATGAACAGTAAGCAAGAAAGTGAAATATTTATATTCTCTTCTCAATGATTCTTGTGTTACAAATGATTGGAATCCCCTTTATATAGTGGGGGAATCCTAAATAAGATACATTTATAATTATAATAGGGAATCTTTTTATACAGCTGTCTAACCACCAAGTACAAATCCGTTCCGGAATTTACGCCGTGATCTTAGGGCCACCGCAGGGATCTTGCTCTTTCTGTTATAAAACCATAACGGTATTATCTCGAGGTTGGTCATATTCTGCCCCGATGTTCATCGAGCACTTCGATCTTCGAGTCCTGTATTCTGCCATCGGGCTCGAGCTCGGTCCACATTGAACTTGCTCTTGACATGACCCCTCGAGCCTACAAAATCGGGGACACCTGATTTTGACAGTATACAGTTTGATAGTAACATATTTAGGCTTTGGCATGTGTAGTATTTTTCCTATATTTTGAAGTTGATCTTAATGCCTTTATATACTAGATATTGCATTTTGTGAGACCTATGTCTCATTTTCTTGACTTATGTTCACTTTGTGCTTAATGATTAATATCCTGTGGCTCCGTGAATACTTCCATTAGTTTAAGAGCCGGGATGGTACCGTCCTTAGTGAGTCATGTGCCATGTGTGAAGTGAGATTTTTGTGTAGTCCATGTATTGTAATTGAGTCTAGAACTTGCCCGGTATGTGAGTTGAAGCGAAATTTTAAGGTGATGCTCAGTTTGAAAAATAATTTTAGGCTATCTTTGATCTTTTTGAGCTTTATTGCTTACCATGAATAAAATTTATGTCTAGTTACCCCTTTTGAGCTTATAGACTTTTATTTGGCACCCACATTACAAGCCTATACCCTTTTTATTCTTAATTGACGTTGTTTTTATCCTTTTACCTCTTAAGTCACTTTAATTGTGAAATGTGCGCTTGAAGAAGTAATGTATGGAATGTGGGGTGGCTTTTGAGTGGAACCAATGAAAGGAAGAAAGGTGCACTTATTTTGTAAAAGAATACACCACTAGCGAAAATTGCAAAAGAGAAAAAAAAAGAAAATTAAAAAAATGTAGATGAATAAATTGATATCTTGTTTTTGCTAGTGGAGTGTAAATGACGATAGTGCTTAAAGAAAGAGGGAACATTGTTGGGGGGTAATTTTGTTTGTGAAATTGAAGTTGGGACTGAAGAATTTGCGTTTAAAGTTTATCATGTGATGTGTTAAAGTGCTTAGGAGAATTAGCCACTATTCCTAAATATATCCTTCCCGTCCCTTAGCCCACAGTACAATCATTAAAAAAGTCCTAATTAATTTTAGACTGAGTGAGCTTACACTAGTAGAGATTTACATTAAGGGCAAGCCTATGGTGCCAATTGCATGCATGTGACTTCTTTTGTGAGTGTGAGAGATTTTCTTTGATATATATAAGTCCTTAAAATATATTTGAGCATTTGATTTAAGTGTGTACATTCAACTTACTCTTTTGTTCTTGTTGTGAGGGCACATAGTTTCATGAGGGATAGCTATCATTTTTAGACATCTCTAGGATGTTGGGTGTTTAAGCCATGAGTGCATTGTGACATTGAGTTGGCATTTGAGGCTAGAATTGTTATGAGCATGTTGTCTTTGTTAGAATATTTTTGAAGTTTGGCATAAGAAAAAGGGAAGTGTATGTGATTGCATGCCAAGGTTTAATTGTTGCTATTTGTTGCTATAAACCATGATAATTGGTATAGTGTGCATCAATTGTGTAAATATAAAGTGCTCAAGAATAGTGTAAATTGTTGGTTGACTCGAGGACGAGCAACGATTAAGTGTGGGGTAATGATGTTTGAATATAATTATATATTTTTAGTGCATTACTTACCTCATATTTAGGTGCTTTATTGCTAAATTGTATAATATGTGTGCTTAATTGAGTTTATTTTATGTGTAGGTACTTTGGGGATAAAATTGGAGCAAAGTAAAGATTCTGCAGTGTATTTTATACACTAATGATTAGATCATAAGTATCTAATGACTGGTCATTATGGGACAATGATAGGATGAAGTAAAACAAAAATAAATAAAGAAAAGTAAAGTCATTACCTTGGGAAAAATGGGTACGTGGAGGAAACAGAAGACATGAAGCACAAATAATTGTACTTGATTGCAAACACCCAAGGAAATAACGTGAAGAGGCAAAGAAGCAGGCGAGGCGAGATTATTTCCTCGTGTTAAAGGCAGCGACGCGAGGTCTTGCGCGAGAAATTTTGGGCGTTTCACGCTGCGACGCCCGGGTCTAGTTCTGAAGTTATTTTGTCTTCTTTTTGATTTTGGACTTGGTTATTTCGCCTAGGTTTTGATCCTACATCTATAAATAGTCCTTAAACACAATTTTTACACATCTTTTGACATACCTTGGACCGAGGGAGAGTACGGAGCTGCCGTGGAGGCTGGAATTCATCATATTTCTTCTTTCTTCCATCAAACTTAGTAATCTTTACTTTTTCTTGATGATTTGTTGTTTTGATACAATGTCTATGTGGAGATAAACTTCGCGTTCTAGGATGTTTATTAATTGTATTATCGTTAATTCGAGTTATCATCTTTGGTTGTTTCTCTAATTCTGTGCATAATTGCTTAATTGTTTGGCCAGCAGTTGAGTTCGATTTACTATCTACGCTATGCTTTGGAAAGCCGTGTTTAA